GAGAACAGGCTGCGTGGGGCTCAGTTGTAAACTTGAGTTGGCTTCTTGATTTTTAATAAAGGGTTTTTCCCTGCATTGTTCTTTGTCCTCCTCTTCCTCTTCCTCTTCTTCTAAACTCCCTTTAATTAGGCTTCCAAAGCTTCTACAAGAACAACTTCAAAGAATTTGCTGTTCTTTTAACATGCGTTTAACTATTGGTTTGTATTTTGCTGTGCCATCTAGAGTAACTAGCATTTAATGGTCAGGAGCATTAATGAAACGTGTTGGAGTTTTTGGGTAAAATTTCAGATCAGAATCCATTTTTGCATGCTATTAATTTTTAAAATATAGGTGGAAATAAGCAGGAGCATTTTTCAGAACTTTATTTTGGTGGGGTTTTGTTTATTGTTTTCTTACCTTTGTAGACCTGTTTTTTACAGCTGAAAAGTACAGGCCTGATTCTCTACTATGTCAACTCTAGATTATTCAAAGAGTTAGCTGCTTATTCTTTGTGCTCCATTAGGGGTCTGGCCTCTCCTGCTTAATGCTCTTCACATCCCGGCCCTCTCTACCCCTACTCTTCAAAGAAAAGACTGAGTAGGGAAAAAAGGTGAAACTGAATGCCATTTTGCTTTGTTCAATAATATTTTAGCAAAAATTTGGTACAGGTGAGGACCAAATAAGACTCTGAAAAAGTGAACTGTGGATATAATTTATCCAAACACATCTCCTATTAAAAATGTCTTTTCTGATAACAAGGTATATACCTGAGTTGTGTTTGTTTTGCTCCATGGGAGCTGCAGTGGCCCAACCTTTATATTGGGAATAAAACATGATGCCTTTTGCAACACTGCTCCTGAGACAGCAGAAATACTTACAATGATATCTAAAAAGGATACATGCTCTAAAGGATTGCTTGTATTCCTAAGGCTACTTGTTTTTATTAAAAACATGAACAATGAAAGTGATCTGATTCAGAATTGCTGGGTATGTATTTGGTGCTTTAAAAAAATCCCTTGTTGAAGAATTTAAAAGATACTGACCTTCTTTCATGGGGATTTTTGCTGCATGCTTTAAAACAAAAACAACAAAAACTAAACTCATCGGTGAGTGATTGCTTCCATTAGGAACATGCATCTAGGGGCTATGCGGTGCCAGATCAAAGGAAACCTTGTTTGCAGCTTGTAGCAAGCATGGTCTGTTTTCATTTTTCTGTTTGTGTACAGACACTGGTAAATAGGATGTGGCTGTGGCAGGGAAAGCTCATAGGGAAAAACATTGCACATGCCAGAGCTTTTGCTTTGCCTCCTTCACTCATGCATTCTGAGAGTGACAATAGAAACCTAAGTGTTTTTAGTTGTTTTGTTTTCTTGTTACTTCATGACTTTAAAAGATCTCATATAGTTTTGTAATAATTTCCATGGTAGGCTGTTATTTTTCTTCTCTTTATCCATACCTAGTTTCTGCCAATCAAGCAAAAATAAGGCAGTATTCTGAGGTAGTGACAGAAAGATGCATATGGCTTTTGTACTGCTTTTATTTATTTATTTATTTATTTATTTATTTATTTATTTATTTATTTATTTATTTA